CAGTGCACAAGTATTTGTCAAACGTAAATATTTGCCTTTTACCAAAAGAGTAGAATGTAATGAAAGTGTTTTAATGTTTAAAGTGATAAACAAATTGTGTCCACACTATCTGAATTGCAACAATAAAAATTATCAATAACTGCATAAATGATTATTCATAATTACTACTGATAACCGTATTGGACCTCCTTGCATAACACCAAGTTGAGTGACGGGGGTATCCTAACAAAATGACCGGTAAATATCATAGGTGAATGCTATTGTGAAAATGAATTATGATAGTGTATTCTGTATAAAATGTCTGTTATTTTGATACTAAATAAGTAATAATGGTATACATGAAGTAAGCGTAGTGATACTTTTAATTAGAAAAACATGCAAAATTTTCGCAAAATTTCAAATATAACCAACATTGTCAACTTGCCTATATATAGTTACAATGGTAGTCTATATTTTAAACTTCTTTAAAAACTTTCCATATATGTATTCTGTCTACAGAATTATTTTTATGTAATATCAAAACTGGTAGAACACCTTTTTAGCATACCAAACATGATCGATGCCCAATTTCAGATAATCATGGAGATTTGATTATCAATGTTTATTATGATAAATACTGATACATTTTCTGTTTTTGTATCATACCAAAACACTTTATTATATTACGCATGTTTTAAAGTTATGAGCAGCAGTAATATCTCATGAATACGTATTCTGCCAAAGTAATCTTTCCTCTGGAGAGCTACTTAAGGTTGTGATAGGTGTTATAGGTGTAATACACAAAGATATGCAATTATATAAGAATAATAAAATAATCTTAATAATAAAAATATTATACACTTTATTATACCTCCCACAACGAAGTTAGGGGTAGGGGTGTGCGGGTATACTGGAATCAGTTTGTCTATCCGTCTATCTGTCTGTAGAAAAAGTTTGTCCGGACAACTCCTTCTTAAGTAACGGACCAATTTCAACGAAGGTTTTCAGATATGATAACTAACACCTGAAGTTGTGCATCCAGGTAATATTTTTTCATTCTGACCCCTTTTTTAACAAAGTAATGGCCATTTGTTGAAAAATCCTTATTCGGACATGTCCTCCAAAACTAAGGGGGCAATTTCAACGAAAGTTTTCAGCTATGGTAACTACTATCTGATGGTGTGCATCCAGGTATTCTTTTTCTCAATCTAACCCTTTTTTTACGGAGTAATGGCCCTTTGTTGAAAAGTCCTTGTTCAGACATATCCTCCAAAACTATGGGGCCAATTTCAACGGAAGTTTACAAACATGGTAACTGCCCCTGACATTGTGCATCCAAGTATTTTGTTTTCATTCTAACCCTTTGAAAGGGAGGTTTTTCTTTTGGCTCTTTGTTGAAAAATAACTTTGTCTGCCTCATTAAAGTCTGGGCCGATTTCCATGAAAGTTTACAGATATGGTAATTACCCCCTGATGTCGTGCATCAGGGAAGTATTTTATTTTTTTATTTCGACCCTTTTTATGGAGTTATGGCTTTTTGTTAAAAGTATTTGTCTTGACAACTCTTCCTTAACTACTAGGACGATTTCAGCAAAACTTGTTCATCTGGGCTAACAAGATTTGGTATGAAAGTGTGTTTTGGCATGGGGAGGGAGTACAAGAAGTATGTCAGTTACATATGTACTTAGATAATTACTGGTGGGACTATGGATTGTTTTGTAATGCTTTGACTTAGTTAGCCTTTAGCTTACAGTTCTGGTTTATATAGAAGCGGGGGTATAAGTTATTCTTTGGCTTATAGTTCCATTTTTTTGCCTATTGCCCATTCATTTAACAAAATATGAAGGAGTAATACACTATTTTATTTCGTTAACTCTAAACAAATAAAGCAAGGAAAGATATCCTTGTCTGACTCTCCATACAAAATATTTATTTCAGCAAATGTGATTTTGTGACCTTGAATGAGGTCAAGGTCATCAACGTTTACAACACTTAAACATATTCTCATGGACAACCTACTTAAAAAATATCAAGACCCCACAACCTTTAGCCATGTAGAAACACAAGTTAAAGGAAATGTGGAAAGGCAGCTATTTTTTCCCTTTTTTTAACGAAAAATGTAATATGACAAATTTACTGATGTTGAAAGATATTATTGGTAGCCAACTTTTCAGCAAGTAAGAAAAATAGACCCGTTTTAGAACTATATAAATTAACGTGTCAAAAATTGAAATGTTCTCATTAGAAATACAATTTTACACACTTTTCTGCTTAAATCTTCAATAAAAAGAACAATTCTTTATTGAAATAGTGTAATATTTGGTATCAAAATAACAGTTGGAATATGTTGCACACGATGATGATATACTTTTATAGAAATTGTGTTATTTAAATGCTCTAGGAGGAATTGAATTACCGAACCTTTAACACCCACACAGGTGTAAGTGAATGAGGTCCCATTTATCATCAAATGAATTCTGAAACTAACTGTTCCTGATTTAAGCTTCCTATACCCATACCTTTTTGTATTTATCTTGTCTAGAAATTCCAAGCGTAGGCTGACGCTAATGTTAAATATCCATAGGCGTTGACCCTACCTTTAAAAATTATTTTAGATGCAATGGTCAGCATTGGAACAGCCTGCCAGTATCTGTCACTAAAGCCGGACACTGAATACTTTCAAATCACAATGCAGAAAATATGTAAAGAATACATACAAACAGATGTGATGGACATAAAAAAGTATATGTTTCTGTTGTTCTCCAATGCCTATGTCAGATGTGTAATAATTTTAGGTTTAATTACCCTTTTGAAAATATTTTTTTATGTTCTGCAATATCTGGTTTTGGTCTTAGCTCATGCCATATTAGCATATATTTGGTCAATTTTTGAAATTTGCCATATTGGTATAGATATATATATATTTGACACATGTGCCTCTTGATTTCTAAACTGCATCATGAGAACTTATGCTGTGCATGACATTAAATCAACTGGGTCAAATCTACCACGCAAGACTGCGTATGTCATGTAGCTCCCTAAAAGAACACTTGTTTACGAAAAACATCAAACCATCCCCGAATTGTTCCTGCGGTGCCATTGAGAACTCAACACATTATTTGCTAAAATGTAATAAATATACAGCACTAAGACAGCTTCATATTCTGAGTTTGCCCTATCAACTATCAACTAATCTTTTAATCTTTGGTGATGACTCTCTAACCCATCAAGATAACACTACGATTTTTCTAGCCGTCCAAAATTATATACTCAAAACTAAAAGATTTCAAATAAACGAATAGTCCTTAACAATTTCATGTTGACATATATATATATATATGTATGTTGTGTTGCATTCGTTTTACTACTGTTTTAAAATGTATTTGGACTTATATGCTTATTCAGTGATTTTGCCATTGCATTTCTTTATACCATATTATGTCACTAACTCGCCATGATTATGATTGTTTGATAAAAGTGATGTGTTACCTTGAAAGAGCAGGACGTACCAGGGACGAAGCGGGAAAGTGTTTTATGGACTTATATTTGATAAGAGTGATGGCTAGTATGTGAACTGCAACGTTTTTAATAATCATGGCGGTGCTTTGTGACATACTAATTTTGTCAATAGTTGATTTAGTGGTGATTTATTCTATGTAACTTGTATATACATTTTAACCTTTTTCGAGTGTCCACTTACAGGACTGCTGACATTTTCATCTACTATTCCATTGTTATATTTTACAGAATCGTGTTCCACATACTCATCGCAATAGAGCAATATGATATTACCATCTGATGATCATATGTATATTGATATGTTATTCATTCCTGGTTTCCACTGCATACCAATCCATTACCCCCTCCCCTATTCCCGTAATTATTCTATTGTACATATTACTTCATTCTTGTAGCTAGTGTTGAAAAGCTGATTATTAAGCAGGTAACAAATTTACATAAGTGTCACGACACTTGTTTTTGTTTCCTTTTCTGTTTTATAAAACATGTATTTCGATGTATTATCAAACAAAATTTTAATAAAACGAAGTTTAAACCAAATCAACTCATTAGTTTTATAATTACACATGTGACATACTCTTTGACTTTCCAAACCTGTGATATTATAATCTTACCTGTGATATTATAATCTTACCCGTGATATTATAATCTTACCTGTGATATTATAATCTTACCTGTGATATGCTACTATTTTAACCTAATGTGTTTTATGTGTACATGTATGCTATGCATCTATTTTTTACTCATGTTGTAAATATTGTATATTTTATGTCGACCACATGTGAGATCAGTCATTGACTCAATGTGTTATAGAATTTAAATAAAGTCTATTATTATTATTATTATAGTCGATATTTTGGCGTAATTAATTTCACTAGATACCGAATTCGAAGACAACTTCACTATAAAACGCTGTTTAAAAGACTGTAATGGTTCTCGAATTTACTTTTTAGAACATCTGTTTAACAGTTTAATGATATTTGATGTTCTGATATACATCATAACCAAACCCCTTCGTTGGTTTGTAATTTTTTAAACGTTCATCGAACAGTGTTATTACTTCAGAGAGGTGATCCTCCATTCAAAAACGCACGATATAAAACGTTTAAAACTCCTTTTTTTTATTTCAATAGGCACCATTTTTTAAAAATTAAATTTATTCACTTTTTACATGGGATCAGATGCATTGTAAATGATGTTTATAGGAACAGTGAATGGTTATAATATAGTTATCTGTAGCGCCCTATTAGAAAATTACTGTTCAGAATAATATTAGCAATCTTCTAAGAGTTAAGAGAGCATTCGTTTATATATGAGTATATATTTTGGAATTTGTATGCATGTCTTAGATCTTCCTCCAATGATTGGAAGACATCATTTAAAAGATTGTGAATCCCAATCTTTAATCGAACGTCCATCTTACATTGTATATTTTTAGTAGTCTCAATGTATCTGGTCCCAGTGAGTTCGTCTATGTGTTAAAAACAAAACAACAAATGAGATATTTTCATATAAACCTGTGTATTTCTATATTTTTTCAAAACCTTCGTTTTCACAATTTGTATATATACAATGAATTCATTAGGCAATGAAATAGAACATCATTACTGTACATGTATACATCATGCAACACCATATTTCAGTGGAAAAATAGCACTTTATAATATATCACAAAAATATGGTACAAATGAAGCCATCCTTTGCTAAATGGCATTTCCATGATAAACCCTGATGTTTCAACGTCCCTTATCCGGCTAGCACAACACTTTTAACAGCCAATTCTACCATCCACAGACAGCCAGATCATTTCTTCATATCTTTTATTTCAACTGTAATCGTTGAAATTCTTGTCAAGAAAAACATTTGTGCCACTCCCTCGTATATATTTTTGAAGCAAATCTTGTTTGTTTTAGATAGAAAGGTCCATCGGAAACAAGATGTGAACATATTATACAATATTTTACGCAACCTATTTTATGAATATTAAAGAGGATCACTGGTTTTTTTTTTTATCAGAACACATAGTGAATAGTGAATATGTCATTTTGTCATTGAATTGGAAACTCTTTTTTAAAATGCAGACGACCGTGTATATTCGTTTGCTATACAATGGACGGCTGTTCGCCAGATTTTGACAATACATATCACTACAGATCACTATTGTTTGGGTATGTACCCCAGCTTATCTCCACTCGGTCATCAGTCAGACTTCATGCCGACATTCTGTCAAGCACACGATATTAATATCAGGAACGTACAACCGTTATCTGCGTCTATGCACACTGGTATACCAGAATTGAGTTAGAAGGTAGAATAGGTAGACCAACGGTACTATCCGATATCTAATATTGTTCTTCTGATCTGACCGACTTAACTCATTCACCCCTGATGACATATTTGAACTCGTCCATTCAAAAGTAAGAATAGTTCATTATATAATTGCAGGGGTGAATGAGTTAACAAGGCATACTATGGCTTGTGGCAGACAATGACCAAACGCATGTCTTGTATTAATTTCTGACGTAACGGAAGTTGTTAACAAAAGAACCAAACTACGATCAATTATAGTTTCTTTGTATTAAATTAATTAAACTCATTTAACCAAAATGTAATACCAAATTGCAATGGTCGATTTTCAAATATCTAACAAACCAATTATTTTTTTTAAAAATGCATATTATTTTTGCTCATATTCAAAATCCAGCGATGTTTCCTTTAACAAGAATTACCATAAAGCGATCATCAATGCACAATACCTACTAATTGTCTGGGGTTTATTTTGTAGAAATATCCATGATCTTAAACTATCAAAAGATCTTTTTTCCTGTTCAAAACATGGATTTCAAAGTGAAGAAATCATATTTACCTTCAATACAAATTCTATAAATAATAAAGAGACAATTTATCCTCTACTTTTACCATTATCATGAAACTGTTAATTGGTGACAATATGTCAGCTGCTGAGAACTTAACTTTCACTTTAGAGTTATTTCAGCCTTTACAGTTACACTACTTCTTCAGTTAGAACAACCTCAAAAAAGTGGAACAATGTTGTTCAACATCCATTTGGGCTTTTTTCTGGATGGATTTCATTACAGCAAAATTTAAAGATTGAGTGATTTAACTACCTCTGAAACTCAAGGTGATTATGTTGGCAATGGTATTTTCATTGATCCAGTCAAAGGAGCGTCTCAAGGTTGTTTTTGGGGGGAGCAGTTGCAGGCACATAGGTGAAATACTTAGCAAAGGACTCAAAACACATATAATCATTAACAGATTTTAAATATCATAACTCAACAAAATTTATAACAAAATCTTTTAACAAATTGTTCAACATTTCTCTCAATATGATGTCAGCTGTAAAAAAAATTAAGAATGATACATATGTTATTATGACGTAGCTGATGAAGAAAGTGTACTATTAATCGTATAAACCAAACATATATATGCACACTAATGATAAATGGATTACAGTCACTATTTATGATCTATATATTAGCTACATGGTTACTCAATATGGAGGACATGGCAACTGAATACATTTTCTATGTTTACATGCTATCAAAATGAAATGCTTGGGCAGATATGACAGTTCATCTTAGCAGACTTCAATGAAATCGGCATATTAACAGTTCAGCCGTAAAAACTAACACCAAAGAATAAACCTACTGGTGTCCCATTTTTTGAGTTTTGTAAGACAGAAAAAACTGTGAAAACAAAACTGCAATCAATGAACACTGTAACATATGTCACAAAGGAACCGTGTCAATCTGCACTCAGATATTTTGTAAAACTCACTTTCTTGATGCAAACAAACATAATAGTGGAATAATTTTACAGAACAATATCTTTTCAATTATATTAAATTTGTTCTGAAAATTAGTTAGGACTTATGCAACCACTGATTAAACATCATATGCTTTCTGAATGTGTAGTAAATCATTTCTTTGTAATTCTGCTTCTAAATGCACAAAAAGAGTGCAGACAAACAAGGTTCCACAGCACATAGCAACCTACCCAGACAACAACAGGCCTCTTTGTTACAATTACTCAAATAGAAGTAAAATTCTCTCTCTCGGTCTCTCTCAATACATTCAGTAACAAGTACATACCCCATTTCTTGGACTCACAATTTTTAATTTGATTTTTACTCCACACAATTAACAAAACATTTATTCAAAACAACAGAAAACAGTCAAACTTTTTTCCCATAATCACAAACACACATAAAGAAACAAAAGAGAAATTGCTAAAGAAAGTAATATGAATGATATAGATCTACCAAACACGAACAAGAAGTCAGCACTACAATATTTGTAACCAATGAAAGACAATGATATGGAATGATGTCAACCTAAGTGTAACCAACCCCTTTGATGTGGATTAACCTATTCTTGCTATTGTTAACCACTGATGCTCATCACCTCACTATAAAGTTCAACATTGCCGGTGGAGATCTTGCTGTTTATTATCATAAACCATTGCAGTGCAGATATCTCTACATGGTTAACCACTGGCTAGTAAGGTTTTACTTCAATATATACCGGTGACATACTCATCACAATGTTAGCACATGGTACTGGGGTTGGATATAATATAACAATAGAACGAAAAAATCCATCAATATTAGAGTCACAATCATCTGTTTTGGAATTTCAATTAAATTTACTCCCTGAATCATGAGATACAGTTAATTTCACAAAAAGGAAGTAATATTTAGATTTTCTTCAATGATTATTGACCATGCATATCAATATAAGTTAATTGTGTTTTAAAATGTACACCCTACTAATGACTTCGATTTGAAATCGATAATTAAAGCACCTTTATCACAAAAAACCTGGAATTTCAGGCCAAAATTTTCCATACCAAACCACAGATGCTTATGCAGATCTTTTGAAATCCTGAGGTACCAAATAAAATCTCATTTTTTATCAGGTTCAGTCATCAAAATTCATGGGGGAAGGAAACATGATATTGAATTCATATGTTACCCTGTAGACTTTAAACGTTTTGTATAGTCTACTGTTCCTGGTACATCAGGCGTATTATGAATTGTAGGACTGAAATTCTTGTTTTAATGATCCCAATATATATTTCAAACACTGATAAAGACCAGTTGAGATCCTGCAGATCTATATTAGTCTGTCTCTTTTAACAACCTGTATGCATGTAGTCCTCTACTCAAAACCAGTAATGTGACTACTGTTTATGAAAATGTTCACACCTTTATGTCTTTTACCAATTTTCCCTGCAAATGTTGATTTACGAACTTAAATGAAACAATAATGTTCATGGGACCAAAAGTTTTGAGTGTTTTGTCCCTGAATCCTCAGTGATGAGGCTCTAGTACTAAGGTCAAAGGTCAGGAACCCTGTGAGGCAAATTGCTGCTTGAGCTCTGAAAACACGTTCACTTTTTCTCATTTTTCTTCTTCTTGCTCTTAGCCTGCTGTTCATCTGCTGTGATGTTACGGGGGACCAAGAACACATTTCCATCACTTGATTGCTGCAGCGAGAACAAATGCGGGTCGTACGGACGACCGTGCTCATCGCGTAGTGACTGGAATATCTCCCTGTACAGGGAGCTAAATTTGTCTTTCATTTCACGTGTCTGCTTGTCAATGGTATGCCGCTCCTGCAGCAGACGATCACGAGTTGATTGGAGAGTTGACATGTCGTCCTCAAGATTTACTAGGACATCTAACTTTCGTTTTCGACAGTTCTGAGCGGCCACCTTGTTTTTTCCTCGTCTACGAATGTCTCGGATTAACTGTAACTGTGGTTCTGTAAGTTTGTATTGCGTAAGCAGTTCATTGAACTCTTCAACGGGTACATCAACAATTTCGTCCACTGTTAACGGCACTTTCAGTTCCTGTATCCGTTTGGAATCTTTACAATGAGGGCCTTTGTGGCGAGGTTCTTTCTCCATGGACGTGCAGTATTTCTTGTACTCGCGCGGAGACTGACCTGGCTGCAGGGGGTATGAATGATTGTGACGAATGTGATTGTGGCTCGTTTTTGTTGATGGGAAATTGAAGTCGGTGTCATTAGAGGAGCTGTGGGCACTGTCCCCGTTGGAGCTGCCTCCCGAGCTATAACTATCACCCACACTGTTGTAGTTGTCTCCCTCGCTGTTGTAGCCATTACCACCACCGTTAAATTTGCTGTAATTGTTGTGCTCGAAACTGCTGGCTTTGTTGAAGCCTGGCGATCCACCACTGTAGTCGTGGCCACCGGTGGCACCCTCCAGACTATCAAACGGCGACATAGCTGCTTCGCTGAACTGGTCCTGGAAAAACAATGATCAAATGATTTGCAGTTGTTATACTTCCCGTTTGATTAATCTACTTAAGTTGCAACCAAAGTTTGTGACTTCAATCTATACTGTGACCATGTAGAAAACATTGGAGAAAATGGTTTATTGAAGATCTGCAATGACCTTAAGGAATTCACTTCAGGAAATATCGTTTGGAATCAAGGCAACCTAATGAATGAAAACATGGCCAAGATATCCTTAAGAATTTAGAGCAAATTGTAGTAAAATTGGGTTTAAATAAGGCTGTTCCCAAGATTTAACTTTGTATTTTCATCCAGTAGCATTAAATGTATCGGTGATATCAAATTCACAATACAGCAGTTTAACTACATTTGAATAAAAGGGAAAAAATGAAGTTTAAAAGTGAGAATTGTTATTTAACTCAAACTCTGATAATCTTGAAAAAAAAATTGACATTTATATTTAGGAAGAATATGAGTTTCAGTAACCAATGTTGTTTCAGTGACTAGATAACGTACCTGTTCTGAGCTCCCTAGGGACACTCCCGACTCACTGCTATTGTCATCAAGCATTCTCATCGACCTTAAACCTGGAAAACACCAGAGAAAAGAAATGTATCATCTCTTAAACAAATCAAAGTGGCCACAGCACTAATAAACAGGTTGAAACAATACTTCCTTATGGACTTGAAATAAATTGACATTAACATATAAGTATAGTGATGCAAGGCTTATTCCAGATATAAAAACAGGGAGGTATTTGGGTTCTTTTCCCCAAAAAATATCCATTAAGACCCCACCGACATTATGCGCCCCACCGACATTATGCGTATCTAGAATGGCTTCCTATTTTCTTTATTAGCTTGGTTATATTTCTTTGATCAAACTAAATAGCCCTATTTTTTAGCTGGAAAGTAATATAATGGGAATCCCTACCATCATTAAGAGCCATCTCTGTGAGGTTGTAGTCCTCGGGGATTATGTCGGGGAGAATACTCTCCATGTCTTCGATGGGATCAGCATGGTTTTCCCCACCACTTCCATTATTATAGAACAATTCACTTTGCTCCCAGTCCAGAGGGGTCGGACAGCCCTCGCTCGAACTTGTTGAGGTGAAGTTAGTCATCGGCTGCTGTGGGATTGCTGGAAAAAAAACAACAAAATTAGTATATTTTGTAGGTGGGCTTTTTTTTTTATTTAAACAAAATTTATTTCTTCATTTTAATTAAGGAGACCAACATGCCATGTATCTGCATTTTTATATTTAGTTTCACTTCATTTCTTTCTCAACTACGACAAATGTTATGACTTATGGTGATGTTTGACCACTGGACCTGTCTACTGAACAGCACTAGCGAAGTGTACTTACAAGTGTTTGAGTACGGTGTCGGCAGTGTGTTGTTGAGCTGAGGGGCCACAGGCAGAGTGGCATTCTGTATTAACACCGAGTTGTGGTCTGTAGGGGACACCACAGTTTGATTCACAGGGCCCATCCCCATGGGGGGCCTCATACTTGTATCATTTTCAGGCAGTTCCAGCAGGTTCACAAGATCTTGCCATCTCTCCTCAAGGCTTTCCATTGGAGTATATTGCTCGGGATTCTTTAGAAAACAAAACAAACTCAATGAGAACAATTTAGATATAATACATACATGTATACATAACAGATGAATATTCAAAAACTTAATTGAAATTTGGGAAGATGACATTCACTTTAATTATAGCATACACATAATCAAAGCTACCATTTTTTTGCAAAAATAATAAGCTTAAATTACTTCATGTTACAACAGTACTATCTAGAATATAACAAACACAGCTTCTTAAACTTCTTCAGTATTATCTGGTAAGACAAGACAACCTTCCTTAACAAGTTCTGTAAAAAAAAAAAAATTACCAGGGCCAGTATTTATGAAACCTTTCTTATGCTCATGCATGGAATCTGTGTGCAAGCCAACTTTCTTATAACTCACTTAAATCTGGTGACACAGTTAAGTTCAAATACTGAAAACATTATTCAGCTTTCTCAAGTTTCTAGAAAAATTCTCAGAAGTCATTGATAAATTGTTTTTTTAAATAATTGATCACTTGATCAAGAAACTGAGTATGAACACAGAACCTAAGCATAAGCATGGGAATGTATTCATGGATATTGGCCTAGGCAAGGCGTCTGTCTTTCTTTTCCTTTTTGTTGTTGTGAGTATGTACTTCAAACTTTACAGGAGCTAGTGTCACCATGACCTTCACAAGCCAGACTACATGTTGTACAGTAATGACTGTGACCTTGACTTTATATGAGCTAGACTACATTTGTACCTGTTGTGCTGCTGTGTAGTTAGCCATGTCTGGCCCAAATCCAGTCATCATCTGAGAGGGCTGCGCTTGAGGAGGTGCCATTGTTTGAGACGTGTGCTGATACTGATGTTCCGGCATTCCGTAATCTCCCTCGAGGGGCGGGGGCTCGCTCACCACAGTCATGTTGTTATCGTATGGCATAAAGTTCTGTAAGTACACAAACACGTACAGGTCAGCAAAGAACACGACATGAACAGCAGTACATATACTAACATTTTATTGACTTAATGTACATTTCACCTCTCAGATACCACCTCATGTAATGTTTGTGTAAACACATGTCAACCGTTCACAATGGAAACTTAACAAAAAACTACAGCAATCAACAAAGACTGTCTTTTCTACACAATGGAGCTGACCTGCTTTGAAGTGACATATTAACTTATTGCAGTCCCGAGAATCATCAACAGAGCAGCTCCAGTTTGAATCCCGATACGTTCCAAATGAGTGAATTACATTATGATTATGTAAGTGCACACACCATTAATAATTTGCACAGGTGAACTCAGTTTCACTATTTAAATGTAACATGATTTTTTCCTGAGCAACTGACCTGAAGCTGGCTGTTCGGAATTGGAGGCTGACCACTTGAAGCTCTTCCTCTAAGGGGTACCCATTCACCTAAAAGAAAAGAAAACAATTATCACCACATTGCCAAAACATGTATTATTTTTATTTTTAAAGGTTGTTTTAGCATAATTATTCTTCAATGCAAATTCAATAAATCTATGTTTTGAGAAAATTTAATTAAGCAAAATAGACATTGTATTCTCGGTCAAAACCAGATGAAACAAATTTAAACCGAATTGCCTGAATTCCTAGTAAAATACATAATGTAAAGTATACAAGAGAATTCTTCAAAGAGAGAAAGGTAAGTGGGATTGTACATCCCGTCTTTTAGGAAACCAATGAGGTACGTAGCATACAAAAGGTAAGGTTAAGGTATTATGATTATCCACCCTTTCATTTTTAGACAGAATTCCGAGCTTGGCTCGGATCCTTGTTTCAAACCATACCTGTTTCTGTATCCTGCATAAAGTTTTCTGTCAACCATCTTCTTTGCTGCTGTAATCTCTGCTCTTCATGTTTACACTGCAGGACTTCTCTTTCTTTTTGCTTTAAAGTGAAAAATGAATTATTAACAATGGACAATACATTGTATGATCATGCTGTAAGTATAGCTAGCAAAATAATGTTGCTTGTTTCTGTATCAATGGTGATTGCACTCATGATCAGTACTTATTATTTGCATAAAATTCCAATGAAAAAGAAGTTTCACTCAGTGACAGTTGAAAAACTAAGCAAAACAAATATCTTAAATTATCAAGACTGTGTACATATATATATAAATCTGGAATTACATTAATCCAAAACATTATATAGAATGTCACACTTTCTAAACTACTATTATCTTTATACTATCCCAGAACACTTGTTATATATCGACAAAGTGTCTAAGAGTTATAAAAGTTCTGCAATATACTTTCATTTATAATTCTCGTAGACTTATAATTATTAAAGTGCTCACTTTCTCTCTATCCTTCTGGAGTTCCAACTCCCGTTCTCGTTCCAGCTCCTGGCGGAGGTTGATGTCGAACACCTCCTTCCCCACTCCCAGGTCTATGTCTTGTCTCCATAGCACGTCTATCAAATCAAGATCCTGGAACAAAACAAACCACACGTTACGTAAGACGCCAACAGTTTGTTACCTTTCTCGTAATTAAGTATGTACATTAGTCCCGGAAACTGGGGAAATAACATGTCGTACACCCACACCAAATCTGTCAGCACACTGTAGACAAATTGCACCACACATTGCATTTGAGATGCATACACACATGTACAAACACTAGATGGCACTGTGGCAGCTTAATCTTCAGCACTAGCTCAATTGGATACCATTAAACAATGCTTCTGATAATTAAGAACTGTGAGCCGATTCCAGGTTTCTCAGTATTGCTTTATCTAGATCCTTGTTTACATGGACTACTATGACCACAGGACATCGTGGACAGGACGTGTACCTGGGGACCGCACACAGGTGAAGAGTGGACAGATGTACAAGCAGGACTTAAACCTGCGGTCTTGTATATATGATTGCAAATTATGTTTCCTTCATTGGGAGTGTATCTCTAAAATCATATGTACACATGCTTTAATAAGTAAGCAGTTCCACGAAAACAATGGGTGAATGAATTCCACAAGTCTGATGCCAGCCATAAGATCACAGGGCTATGAAAAAAGGTCTTCTTGATGGCTGTTGCCGAAATATGAAATTGTAAACCCCTGAAAAGGACATAAGGTAGTGACATTTTTACATCTGAAGAATCTGTTAATGCTTTATAAATCATATACATTGAATAATATTATGTCTGACGTGTATATGAATTCCTAGCTAGCTAGTGAATTTTAAAGTATACCCGATACAACGTACTTGTATGTATTGTGATACATGCTCTGTTTTGACTCGGCCCCCCCTGACTGGCTTGTGATTAAAAGTAAACAAAATTCCTTCACTACCACCCACTCAATATCAATGGATATCGTCCAGTTAACAGTTGGTGACTGATTTGTTTAATTTTCTAAAGATAACCGAGAACTACTTTTCGAAACATTTTTGGGGTATTTTCTTATCAAATTCTGGCATGTTCTTAATTCCCTTTAAAAGTAAGAATTTTAAGTCCCAGATTTAAAAGCTTGTATTTTGATGAAATATTTTTGTATTTACATGTAAGTCAGTTTAGACCGTTCATTAGTATGACTTGTTTATATAAGCCAGTAACCTACACTTGTACAAATCAAGGTGCAGTACGTGTACAGAGTTCAGGAATATATTCATAGGATCAATATATCCTCGTTACCCACAAGGATTGATCAACCAATTGCAATCAGGATGTTGAGAGGGGATTCTCGGTACTAATGTACCAACAAACCCTGTAACATGAGTGGTGGTGATCACATCCTGTATCTGTATTGGGTGAGAACCTCTCTGTGTGAGATTGACCACTTACACCACAAGGTGTGTACCGACTGGTCATAAAATATTGACTATGAAATCCACATTTTCCTAGTAGCTGTATATGGAGGAGTGGATCATTCAATAAAATTTCCACAGATCCTGGTTGTGTAAAACATGAGATTGATCACATGTTTACACAAATGTTGATATCGTCTTCATTACTTGCTAAGCAGCTTACACTTCACATTGTATGTTCATGAAGTTCAAGCACGCTTCTATAGATTTCCTCAGATCCTGGTTCTTATGTAGCTTGATCATGTAGATTTATGTACATGTGTAATTTATCATTTTTACAAGAATATTGCTTGATCAGTATACTTTGTTTGTTTTGAACTTAATTGGACATTCGGATATAAGTCAGCAAATATATATATGCAGTATGTCAATAATGATCTGCTAGCATCTGCAGTGATTGGGGTAGTACAAATGTTATAGTACACTTGGCTTTCAAGTCTATAAAGTCAGAAATATGAGAAAACTAGCTTTTGTTTACTATGAGAAGTTATAGGCAGGATGAAATTTCGCTTTTTTATTTCCCGACATGCAATTAAGCCTAATGCAATACATGTGTTTTTTGGGATCATGCATTTCTTTTTTATACATAAAAATAGAACTTCTGCAAGAAGTAACAAAGTTTTCATTTTAAGATATTTTAAAATAAAACTTTGAAAACATTTTCATATGAAATGGAATCAAAATAAATCCTTTCAATGAGTTTCACATGCATGTACATGTTCTACTGACACCACAATGGGCCTTAAATGGAAAACATGACTTCGGTAAATTTACCACATTCAATACTAAATTCATGTGATAGAAATGTATTCTTCTAGGTAACCTAGATATACACGTGTTTACTCAGGTATACATGTAGATAGCCCCTGGGAACACTGTTAATTATAATTTGCTCTGTTCACTCAATTTTTAAATATTGGTAATTCAATAACAGCAATCATCTCGACTGAATACCTTATAAATAATGTACATAAACGTACACAGCTGATGTCACCAGTCAATAAGGTCAAAAGTTCACAAAGCAGTCCATAACCAACATTGACCGTTACTTCAGATTCAATTTAAACAAATCTTATCTATTTACATCACTGACGTTTTTATGTTTCTTTTTTAATTTTCAGAGTTTTCTCCTGGTTTGAAGGAGTGGGGGGGTATTGGTTGTGTTATATTCAGTAATCCTTCACTCTCGAAAAAACCCTTAAATTTTAAAAATGTTATTCTCTGAAAAACGTAATGCCTTTTTAAAAATGGTAATTTTAAGAGTATAAGTTAACATGTATATATATGTTTTTTTTGTAAAAGATACACAACAGTAAAATTTGCTTTGAGTTTCAACATCCTACTTTGAATACATGTACTTGAGTTGTGATGATTGATTGTATGTACGTATTATTCACATCAAATGAAGGCTTCAGGTAGAGACTGGTTTTCCCAGTCTAAATGACACAAGTTGGCCCTTCCCAACTTCCATTATCGTGTGTATATACATACACCTGTAGTATTCCTGTGTATTGAGTCAGATGAGTACGACTCCTCAACACACGGTATAGTTAGCTTTAGAAATATTTTCAAAAATTAAATATGCTCTAAAAATTCATAAAAACAATCGCGATCCAATATTTAAATATATATCATGAACAGATACCTAGGTTTGTGTTCTTTCCTATCAGCAAACTGATAGGAACATCAGTAGATCTTGATTGGCGATCAAATAGTTTAAACAAATTCACAAAGCTGGTTGATTGGAACCTCAGAACGAGGACAAAACAGGCCTTGTTTGTCACACTACGACCAATAAACTGTTTCTGCTCCATCAATCAAGTGGAAAACTTCCTCCGTAATGGGCTTCTATAGTTTTCCATTATATCAGAGCAACTGACCCCGACATAAAGCTTCCTGGTGACCTAGAATGCTATAGATCCTCCGCGCTCGAATCATTACCGCAATCAGACCCATGTAATTGTGTGGGATTTTAAGCCGACAACAAAGCAGCTGTTCCATACCAATGTCGCTCCAACCAGAATTAAAAACATTACGATCCTCTGAACAACAAGAGATTTGAAAACCTACAAAGCAAGCTCAGTCCCCTGTTCATAAAAGCTTTCTAATAGGGATTCAATTTACCTCCAAACTTTTACCTGGCCGTACAATAGCATTATTCTTGTGTATTCACGACACACGGATGGAGAGTATTTCAGCCCCAAGGGTACGAGGCCATGCTGGTTATAAACAGCAGATATAGTACTGTACTTTGTCACCGATGGTGTTGGGACTATGCGACTATATAGCTACCCCAAATCTAAAACCTTAAATAAGACCTAGACATCAACTGTTCCAACATAACTTCTAAAGATGTTCCCACTCCCTTACACTTACATGTTATGCTGGTGTTGGAATTTAAAAAAAAAGTGAATGTTTAGCCTGACTGATTCTTATATCATTAGTGCTTAAAATATATATATATTCAATGCCAATTAATGAATTTAAAGGACTCTAAATTTTTTAGCATGTTTTTATGAAATTACAGACAAGTTATGTTGACCCTACAATAACTTTTCTTCAAAAATCTATACATAGAATAGACATACATGAAAAAAATAAAACAAAATATATATTATATACATAAAAAAAAAATCTAAACCAAAAGTAAAAGAAATTTACAAATGAGACACTAAAATATATGGATACACTACATAGTATATATATATATGTATGTACATACTTAGAATTATTATCAAAATTTTATGTAACACATTGCAATTCTTTCATATCGTATTTCAACAAATAACAGTGCTGATGAGCATTTATAAGTAAATGAGTAGCTTAAAGCTTGGGGTGCCTTTTTTAGACAAATTTTTCCTCCACCAACATCTTGTAATCGGACATTTTTCTGACCTTGCCGGAGTCCTAAAGTCCTCTTAATGTTTCGCAGCATATAATTTGTTTTTCGTACAGTTCAATTACTCATCTGAAAGGATATATCACCATTTCTGTGGCAAACTAGCAAACCAATTATTTAGGTAGTTTCCAAGTAATCAGGAATAAAGAATGTGGAATTTTATAATAAGCATAATGCTGTATTTGAGTTAATATTTCTAAAATACCTGAGGGAGCCATCGATCAGGTGCCGTCAAACCAGTAATATGTACGGTATGGTAATTTTCAAAATTCGATATTTTCCGTTTTCAACTTTTCATACTGCAGAATATGTATAAGCCTTGTGCACAAAGCTGTCTAGAACTCCAACTGTTCTATACTCAACCACATTCATTTATAAGTTTTAGGTCAATAAAATTAATAATATGCCAGCAAAACTGAATATTCCGGCACAGCATGTGAATTATACAATGCTGTATGTTGGAGTTTCAATGTTAATTAGAGTTTATTGACCAATTACAGAATTGAAGCTGAAATGTCACACGTGTATTTTAATTTAGAAATAAGGGTGTCCTTGTATCCGTTTCTATTGCCTGCGACGACAGAGTTGGATATTGTGTCACTTAAAGCTCAGAACTGGCTCCTTAGCCTAGGATACCTGTAACAGATCTCTCCTAGATTACAGATAAAATTTTGGTGAACTTTTTTCAGTTCTGACTCACAGCCAGATCAATATCACAGGTAAAACT